AGAGGGGGAGGCTACAGCCTGGGGCCAAATGGCCTTCTCTGTAGTTTGGAGAGAGGGTCTTGGGCAAGCATCGTGTTCTAGGGTTTATAATTGGGGAGTGGGTAGAGTCTGAGGTTCAGAGCTGAGGAACACACACACACACACACACACACATTTGTGCAGGTTTGGTCTTAGTGCTTCCAGAATGACATAATGGAGCTGGACATAATCCAGAGAAGGGCCACTCTATAATCAAGGGGATGGAGGAGGGTGGAGGGGACTGCCATATGAAGATAGATTAAACAAACGCAGACACTTTAGTCTAGAAAGATGAAGGCTAGGAAGGGATGTGACCAGAGTTTATAAAATTATGCAGAGATAGAAAGAGGGAACACAGCCTTCCTTATTCGCCACATCTGAGAATTCTAGAACCAACAGCATCCAAGAGCTAGAAGGAGATCCAGCTAAAAGAAATCTGACTCTGCATCAGCTCCCCAGTTTGTGCTTTTGTTGAAGGAGCTTTTAAGTCAAACACCTAATTTTCTCATCTTAGCAGCCATGCAAGGCAGAAAGATGAGGTATCAAGAACCCCATTTTACAGATGAAGAACCTGAGTCTCAGAAAAGGAATGAAAATTTCCTGTAGTCACTCAGCTAGCAGGTGGGATTAGAACCCAGTTCTGTTGGACTCCCAGGTCAGTGATCTTCCCACCATGGCAGCTTAACATTATTATTACTCTATATGCCATATTAAAAACCTAAGGAATTCATTAGCCCCAAGAGGTGCAATAGGATGAAAGCATAAGTAGCTTTGGAAAGAGGATCAAGTCATGGCTGAGAGATCCACTGTGGATTGTTAAGGAAAACTGGGGATGAGGTGGGAATGTCCTTAATCTTGGAGGACAGCCAAGTCCTTCTCCAATGCGTCCTTTTGGACCCCATTAAAATATTGGACTGGGAGCATTATGTTGTTAGCCCAGAAGTGTGGTTCTGATGCTGTCAAAACAGTTGCAGAACAGGATGAGGTTTCGTTGAAGCGCCCAGAGACATCTGCCTGGTGGCCACAGGAAGTGGAAGGTGAGGGAGGGGATAACAGTGGGTGCCAGCTCCTTCAGGAAACTCTGCTCTGTGCATACCAGGGAATTGACCTGTTTGAAGGCATCCATCTCTCCCAGTGAGAGCTCCCAGGTTCCTTTTGCCAGGCTTCCTTCCAACCACTTTCCCCTGATGATTGCTTGCAGCCCTCCACCACCACCTCACACAAAAATCCATCTCAGAACTGAGCATAGAACTGCTGAGAGTTGATGAAGAGGAGTAGTTGTTTTCTCCCAGCTCTGTTTTGCTAATCTACTCTGAGACTTTGTTTCCTTTTGCAGGAAATGGAACCAAGGGCCCTGGCCCTTTCCAATCTTCCAAAGGAAGAAAAGATGCTTCCTGAAGGTTAAAAAGGAAACACTTTGTAAAGATCTTGGGCACACCCCAGGGGCCAGGCTGAATGCTGTGTCAGGTATTATTAGCAACCCTACACTATAGATGTGGTTTAGAAATCTGTGATATATGTCCTAGATAGAGATGAGATGTTGTAGAAATGTGTGTCTTAAGCATGCTTGGCCTATGTGTCTGTCTCCATGAGCTGCACAAAGGCAGAGAGAAATCCCATATTTGCACTCTTGCCATGTTGGTCTTCAAGTCTGTTTACTTATCTCTTCCTCCCCCATTCTAAATACCTCATATATTTAATGTAAAAAAAAAAAAAAACCTCTGACAATCAGCACTGAATTCTCAGGAGTACTTCATAATTAAGTGATTTTGTCTGTGAAAGTAGCCTGGAAGAAAAGAGGGTTTTATACAGGCTGGAAAAGACTGTTTTACACCTTATTTAGAGATGTTTGGCTTCCCTATAACAACCATATAGCTAGAGATCCCTAAAGAAGCCAAATAGAAACTTGTTACCATGCTGATTTCAAGGGAGAGAATGAGGTCTTTTCATTTTAGAGAGAAGCACATTACTCATCAATTGACACAGAGGGCATATGTAATTTGACCTTTGTAATCAAAGCCATATACTAATGAGATGCCCTTAATGGGGGTAAGCCTTGCTTTATGCAACATCTGTATTACTGAATCCTGTGCGAAGATTAAAAGCTATTTTAGAAATTGCTACAGGAGCTAGCTATTTAAAAGAACTATGTATATTTCCTTTAGACTGTCTCTTGAGGTACCTTATGGAACTTGGAACACAGCAAAGTCAAGTTAAAAATGACTTTGAGTCCAGTGGTAGTGACAATAGCAGCAGCTGTGGCAGCTCAGAAAATAGTAGCACTCTTTTCTCCAGGGATTGTATGCTTGTTTGGACAGGGGAGGAGCTGAGATAAGGGGAAGGACTAGAATGGGAACTGCGGTGTGTGGGGGGGTGGAGGCTCACATTTAAACCAAGCCTGGCACAAAGACCCCCAAAAGAAAGTTTATTTTAACTCAGAATGAGCTGGACAATTAAAAAGCAAAGGCATTTTTTTCATGAGCTCCATTCTGATTTTATTCAAAACACATGTGGATTTGATACATTAATAGACTCATAGCAAAACTGATCAATACGCAAGCCACCTAGATGCAAGAACAGGAAAACAGATGTTTCATGCCAGTGAGGGCTACTAACACACACACACACACACACACACACACACACACACACACACATCCTAGCCATTGTCTCTCTAGCCTGATTATCCTGATTATCACCACCCACCTCTCAGCTCCCAGAATTGAGTTGACCAAGGATATAAAGGAAGCTTCAGAATAATGGAGAACCTCAAAAGTTCTAAACAGCCAAATTGAGGTTGCAGTTGTGCCTACTGGACGACTTCAGGTTAATGCCTGGTACCCAGTGCTCACACCACAAGCAGCTGAATTTTAACTGAAGAGAACTATGGTTGATGGTGAGATTTCAGCCATGAAGCTTGACTGGTTTCCATTGTCAGCTGGTCATTTTCTGTAGGTACCAGGAAAATCACCATAGCATCAGGGAGCAAAACTGGTATTTGTCTTTACTTTGTTATTGTTTCCTTCCTATTCTGCAACCTGCTTTGGTTACCAAACACTATATCGTAAGTGTTTTCCAATACCAGTAAGACATTTTTGATGACATGACTTTAAATGGATGGAGCATCATTTATTTACCATTCCCCATTATTGAATATTTTAAAGGTTTTAAATTTTTCACCATTATGAATAACTCAATGAGCTAAATCTTTGCATCTTTATTACCATAGGATACCATATTATGGTGGAATTATTGGTTCAGAAAATCGAAATATATTTTTCTAATGAAAACATTTTTTCAACATGTACATAGTGAAGTATCTTAAGTGTATATAGTGATGCTTTTTTTTTTTTACATATACACACCCTTTAACCATCCAGATCAAGATGTTTAACCTTTCCAACATCCCAGGTGGCTTCTTTGAGCCCCCTTCCCAGGCAATAACCCTCTTAGAGATAAACGCTCTTCTGATTTTTATCATCAAATCCAAATATTTTTAAGGCTTTTAATACATATTGCCAAATTGTCCTCCGAAATATTTGTGGCAAAGTACATTCCCACCATCAGCAAGTGAAAGTGCCTGGGTCCTCACACCCTCTTGGCTTTACCTGCGAAAGGAGATATGTGAGCACTTAAGACACACCTAGCTACAGTTAGAAACAGGCAGGGGCAGTCAAGAAGCCACACGAGTTCAGCTGGGCACTAGGCAGCCAGTGGGAACCACAGATCTAAGAGTCAGAGGCTGAGTGTAGTCCCAGTAGGCAGGCAACACTATGCCATAGTTCACAAGTCCCTTAGAGATCTGCAACTTAGAAATCTCAGTTGTTTTCGTTGTCCTATTCATTATTGTTCTCTGTTGCACACACCCAAAGTCTTCTTTTTATGTAGCTATCAAAATTTCTCTAATGATCACTTAGTTATGCTTGGTACATAGTAGGCACTTAAAATACTTGGTGAATATATGACACTTTTAATCTTGCTTTATTCTGCTTACTAGAATAAAGCATGACACTGTAAAAATTCCCCAAACTGCAGAGGTGCACAGTGTAGCAAGTTTATCCTCCCCACACAATGCTTCTCCCGAGAGATAGCAACAATTTTCCAGTTTGGAATGCATTTTCCCCGAAACTTTTTTCTCCATATGTACTTTTATTTTTATTTATTGTGAAAGTTAAATACTTCTTTGAAACTTTTTCAATCATAAAATATATTTTTGTTAAGCATTGTAAGTTGCAATTAATAGCTTTCAAATACACCATATCAAAGTCCATCTTAAATCAATCAAACTGAACAGTAGTTCATTCTTGTGCAATAAAATTCCCTTCAATTTATATCAGGACTAGTAGCCCAGTGCACAAAAATTTGTGCACTCGGGGGTGAGGGTGAGGAGTGGGGCCAGACCCCTCAGCCCGACCTGCACCCTCTGTCATGTTCCTGGACACCGGCCACTCCTGGCCTAGGCACAGGCCTACCGGCTTGGGGTGGCCTGGCTCCCGAGGCCCCATTTTATCAAGAGAATAAAGTCAAAGTCGGCGTTAGTTACAGCCCTCACTGAACCCAGTACACTGCATCTGTGCATACAACTGCCTCGTTCATGTGCCTGCTTTGCCCTACTGAATTACTAACATCTTGAAGATATAGCTCTGTCTTATCCTGCTTCAACGTCAGTGCCTGGCCTGGTGCCATGGATCTGAGAGGGTTTGCTGAGTGAGTGGATAACGAGTGAGTGAATGAGCGAGTAAGTGAATGAGCAAGCAGCTACCTGTCAGGATAGTTCGCACTCC